TCCTTTTTTCTTCCTTTTTTCTTCCTTTTTTCTTCCTTTTTTCTTCCTTTTTTCTTCCTTTTTTCCTTTTTTCCTCTTTTTTTCTCCTTTTTTTCCTGCTTCTGCTTTTCTTATTCTTTTCTTATTCTTTTCTTATCCTTTTTCTTGCTTTTTCCCCATTATTCCCATATTCCCAATATTCCTCATATTCCCGATATTTCCCATATTCTCATATTCCCCATATTCCAAATATTTCTCATATTCCCCATATTCCCATGTTGCCCATATTCCCATATTCTCCACATTCCCAGTATTCCCCCTATTCCCCAAATTCCCAATGGTCCCAAAAATCCCCATATTCCCGGTATTCGTGATATTCTCAATATTCCCCATATTCCTCATATTCCCCATATTCCTCGTATTTCCAATATTTCCCATATTCCCAACATTCCCCAACATTCCCCATATTCCCCAATATTCCCCATATTCCCCATATTCCCCATTACCCCATATTCACATATTCCCCATATTCATTCTCAATATTCCCAATGTTCCCGATATTCCTTATATTCTTCATATTCCCGATATTCCTGAATGGGGATTCCCACAGAAATGGGGAGATTCCCATGTGAACAGGGTCATTCCCACGGGATTGGGGTCATTCCCACAGGATTGGGGTCATTCCCAAACAATGGGATCATTCCCCCGGACATTCCCAGAGGATCATTCCCGATCCCATTCCCGTTTTTCCCTCCAGGCTCTCCCGTCCATCCAAATCCCGGTGTCCCCCCACATCTTCACCAGCATCAGCTGGGCCTCGGCGCTGCCCCCGCTGGCTCCGGTGAGTCCTGCAATTCCCAGAATTCCCGATATTCCTGGAATTCCCGTTATTCCCCTTGTTCCCGTTATTTCCCCATTCCCATTATCGCTGTTATTCCCATTATTCCCGTTGTTCCCATTATCACTATTATTCCCGTTATTCCCCTTATTTCTGGGATTCCCCTTGTTCCCATTATTCCCATTACTCCCATTCCCCTAATTCCTGTTATTCTCAATATTCCCGTTATTCCCCTTGTTCCCGTTATTCCCATTATTCCCGTTATCACCGTTATTCCCTGTTATTCCCCTTATTCCCGGGATTCCCCTTGTTCCCATTATTCCCATTATTCCCAGTCTCCTAATTCCTGTTATTCCTAATATTCCCGTTATTCCCATTATTCCCGGGATTCCCCTTATTCCCATCATTCCCCTTGTTCCCGTTATTCCCGTTATTCCCATTATTCTCATTATTCCCGTTTTTCCCCTTATTTCCGGAATTCCTGTTATTCCCATTATTCATTCCCATTATTCCCCTTATTCCCAATATTTCTGATATTCTCATTCCCATTATTCCCCATTTTGGGATCAGATCCCCATCCATTGGGATTGAATCCCTCCCTTCATCCCTTTCCGGATTTTGAGATCGGATCCCATTGGGAATCCCTCCCTCAATCCCATTTCCCCATTTTAGGATCAGATCCCATTTGGGATTCCCTCAATCCCATTTTCCCGATTTTTCCCTTTTTCCCCAATTTTCCCCAATTTTTCCCAATGATTTTCCTGATTTTTCCTGATTCTTCTCGTTTTCCCCAATTTTTCCCAATTTTTCATGATTTTTCCTGAATGATTTTTCCTGTTGGATTTTTCCCTATTTTTCCCAATGGATTTTCCCCGTTTTTTTTTTTCATTTTCCCTGATTGATTTTCCCAGTTTTTCCCAATCTTTCCTGATTTTTTTTCCCAATTTTTCCTGATTGATTTCACCGACTTTTCCCGATTCTTCCAAATTATTTCCTGATTTTTCCCATTTTTTCCTGATTCTTCCTGATTTTTCCCATTTTATCCTGATTTTTCCTGATTTTTCCCCAATTTTCCCCGATTGAATTTTCACGTTTTTTCGCTATTTTTCCCTTCTTTCCCATTTTTTCCCGTTTTTCCCATTTTTCCCTGTTTTTCCCCTTTTTCCCAATTTTTCCCATTTTACCCCATTTTCCTGATATCCCCGATTTTTCCTGATTGATTTTTCCCCATTTTTCCTGAATTATTTTTCCCACTTGATTTTTCCCATTTTTTTCCAGATTGATTTTTCCCATTTTTTCCCAATTATTTTCCCCAATTTTTCCCCATCTTTTCTGATTTTTTCCCCCGAATTTTCCCGATTGATTTTCCCCAATTTCCCCTGATTTTTCTGATATTTTCCCCTTTTCCCCAATTGTTTTTTCCCTTATTCTTCCCTATTGATTTTTTCCATTTTTCCCGATTGATTTTTCCCAATTTTCCCCTTTTTTTCCCTTTTTTTCCGATTGATTTTTCCCAATTGATTTTTCCCGATTTTTCCCGATTTTTCCCTATTGATTTTCCCTTTTTTTTCCCGATTGTTTTTTCCCAATTTTCCTGATTTTTCCCGATTTTTTTTTTTCCCTGATTAATTTTTTCTGATTATTTTTCCCAATTTTTTTGATTTTTCCCGTCTTTCCCGATTAATTTTTCCCCATTTCCCCCAATTTTCCCCATTTTCCCTGATTTTCCCATTTTTCCCATTTTTCCCATTTTTCCCATTTTTTCCAGGTTCGCAGCCGCTCTCTGTCTCTCGCCGATCCCCGTTCGCCGTCGCTGTTCCCCCCTCAGCTCCTCGTGGCCTCCCCTCCCCGCGCCGGCCCCGGCTCCAGGTGACAATTCCCGCTTTTCCCCAATCCCGGGAACCCTCCCTGTCCCTGAATTCCCATAAATCCCAAAATTCCCATTTTTTTCCCAGGAAAAGCCGTGGCGAGGCCAAGAAGTGCCGGAAGGTTTACGGGGTGGAGCACCGCGAGCAGTGGTGCACGGCGTGCCGCTGGAAAAAGGCCTGCCAGCGCTTCCTGGACTGAATTCCAGAGGAAATTCCCAAAAAAATATGGGAATTGCAATGGAAATCTGGGAATTCACACAGGAAATCTGGAAATTCCTATAGGAATTGAAAACCCCCCATGGAAATTCCCACAGGAATTGAAAAATCCACACAGAAATCTGAGGATTCCCACAGGAATCAGGAAATCCCCCTGAAAATTTGGGAATTCCCATGGAAATCCGGGAATTCCCATGGAAATCTGGGAATTCACACAGGAATCTAAAAATCCCCGTGGAAATCTGGGAATTCCCACAGGAATTGGGAAATTCCCACGGAAATTCCCATGGAAATTCCCACAGGAATTCAGAAATCCACGCAGGAACCCAAGAATTCCCACAGGAATCAGGAAATTCCCATGGAGATCTGGAAATTTCCACAGAAATTCCCACAGAAATCCAGGAATTCTCATGGAAATTCGGGAATTCCCACAGGAATTGAAAAATCCATGCAGAAATCCGGGAATTCCCACAGGAATCCAACAATCCTCATGGAAATCCAGGAATTCCCGTGGAAATCCCAGAAATTCCTACAGGAATTGAGAAATCCCCATGGAAATCCGATGATTCCCACAGAAATCCAGAAGTTGCCATGGAAATCTGAGAATTCCCACGGACATTCTGACAGGAATCCAGAAATCTTCCCAGAAATCTGGAAATTCTACAGGAATCTGGGAATTCCCACAGAAATCCCCACAGAAATCCAGAAATTCCCATGGAAATCTGGAAATTCCCACAGAATTCCAGAAATCCCTGCAGAAATCTGGGAATTCTCATGGAAATTGGGGAATTCCTGCAAGAACCTGGGAATTCCCATGGGAATCCATAATTTCCCGCAGAAATCCAGAAATTTCCTGCAGAAATCTGGGAATTCCCACAGAAATTCCCACAGGAGTCAAGAAATTCCCATGGAAATCCAGGAATTCCATGAAAATCCAGGAATTTCCTGCAGAAATCTGGGAATTTCTGTGGAAATCCGGAAGTCGTTGCAGAAATCTGGGAATTCCCGCAGAAATCGGGAAATTCCCATGGAAATCCAGGAAATCTCCCGGAAATCCAGGAATTCCCATGGAAATCCAGAAATTTCCACAGAAATTTGGGAATTTCCACAGAAATCCCAGAAATTCCCACAGGAATTGAAAAATCCCCACGGAAATCCAGGAATTCCATGAAAATCCAGAAATTTCCTGCAGAAATTCCCGTAGAAATCCCAGAATTCCCATGGAATTCCAGGAATTCCCAAATCCCTCGAATCCTCAAAAAAGGTCGGGAACGATCAAAGCTTTAAAAAAAAAAAATCCTGGAATATCCCAGGAAAAGCGGGAGAGGATTTTTTGGGATCGGGAATCAGGAATTCCTTTTTTTTTTCCCTCCAAAAAAAAAGAAAAATCCCAAAAAATTGAAATGGGGGAAAAACCCGTGGGAGTTTTTAGGGAAAAATGTGGGAATTTTGGGAAAAAAATCCTTCAAAATCAGGACTTTTAGGGATTTAGGGATGGGAAAAAATTCCTTTTGCATCCCAAAATATTTCACTGGAATCACGGAATGGGGTGGGTGGGAAAAGACCTCAAAAATCCTGGAATTCCAAAGTTTTGGGAATATTTTTAAGGAATTTGTTGGGATTTGAGGGAATTCCGATCGCTGGAGCAATTCTGGGATCCCGACTGGGTTTTAGGGATTTGGGAATTGTCAGAATTCCTTCAAAATGGGAATTGGGAGAATCCCACGTTTGCATTTTTGGGATTGGGTGATCGGATCAGTCTCAGAATTCCCCAAAAATTTCCATCAAATCCCAGAAAATTGCCGCCCAATTCCCAGGGAATTCCTGCCTGAATCCCAAAAAATTCCCACCCAAACCCTGGGAAATTCCCGCCCAAATTCTGGCCCATATCCCATAAAATTCCCGCCCAAATCCCAAAAAATTCCTGTTTGAATCCCAGGAAATTCCACCCAAATCCCGGGAAATTCTCACCGAAATTCCAGGAAATTGCCGCCAAAATCCCGGGAAATTCCCATTCAAATTCCTGCCCAAATCCCTGGAAATTCCTGCTCAAATCTCGGGAAATTCCTGCCCAAATCCCATAAAATTCCCACCCAAATCCCAGGAAATTCCCACCGAAATCCCATAAAATTTCTGCCCAAATCCAATAAAATTCCCATCAAAATCTCCAAAAATTCCCACCGAAATCCTGGGAAATTGCCTCCCAAATCCCAGAAAATTCCCATCGAAATCCCAGAAAATTCCCATTTGGATCCCAGGAAATTCCCGCCCAAATCCCATAAAATTCCCACTCAAATCCCAGGAAATTCTCGCCCAAATCCCGGGAAATTCCCACTGAAACCCCTAAAAATTCCCGCTCAAATTCCAGAAAATTCCCACCCAAATCCCTGGGAATTCCCGCCCAAATCCCATAAAATTCCCACTGAAATCCCTAAAAATTCCCACCCAAATCCCATACAATTCCTGCCCAAATCCCAAAAAATCTCTCCCAAATCCCAAAAAATTCCTGTTTGAATCCCAGGAAATTCCATCCAAATTCCAGGAAATTGCCGCCAAAATCCCAAGAAATTCCCATCCAAATTCCTGCTCAAGTCCCTGGAAATTCCCGCCCAAATCCCATAAAATTCCCACTCAAATCCCATAAAATTCCCTCCCAAATCCCATAAAATTCCATCCAAATCCCAGGAAATTCCCTCCCAAATCCCACAAAATTCCCATAAAATTTTCTGAGTCTTCCAAATATTTTTATTCTTTCCAAAAAAAAAACCAGGAAAAAGCCAAAAAAAACCGGGAAAAAAACACGGAAAAAAAGAGCAAAACTTTGTTTTTACAGCAGAGAGAAAAAAATATAAAATTTATTTTGTAAAGAAATAAAAAAAAATGGAAATGAGAGCGCGCGGGGTCTGTGCAGTCCTTGGAACCCAATTTTGGGGGTTTTGATGGAATTTGGGGGTTTTTAAAGCAGAATTTTTTGGGGTTTTTGAACCCGAATTTTGGGGTTTCTTGATGAATTTTTGGGGTTTTTAAAGCAGAATTTGGGGTTTTTTTGAACCCGAATTTTGGGGTTTCTTGATGAAATTTTGGGGGTTTTTGATGGAATTTGGGGTTTTTTGAACCCAAATTTTGGGGTTTCTGGATGAAATTTTGGGGTTTTTTTGATGAAATTTTGGGTTTTTTGGACCCGAATTTTGGGGTTCTTTGAACTCGAATTTGGGGGTTCCATTAACTAGAATTTTGGGGTTCTTTACCCCAATTTGGGGTTTTTGATGGAATTTGGGGGTTTTTGAACCCAAATTTTTGGGGGTTTTGAACCCAAATTTATGGGGTTTCTTGATGAAATTTTGGGGTTTTAAAGCAGAATTGGGGTTGTTTTGAACCCGAATTTTGGGGTTCATTGATGGAATTTGGGGTTTTTGAAGCAGAATTTGGGGGTTTTCTTGAACCCGAATTTTGGGTTTCTTGATGAAATTTTGGGGTATTTTGAAATCGAATTTTGGGCTTCTTTGAACTCGAATTTGGGGGTTTTTTGAACCGGAATTTTAGGCTTTCTTTGACCCCAATTTTGGGGTTTCTTGAACTCGAATTTTGGGGTTTTCTGACCCTGAATTTGGGTTTTTTTGAACCCGAATTTTGGGGGTTTTTGACCCCAAATTTGGGGTTTTTCGAACCCGGATTTTGGGGTTCTTCGATGGAATTTGGGGTTCCTTAAATTCGAATTTTGGGGTTTTTCGAACCCAAATTTTGGAGGTTCTTTGATCCCGAATTTTGGGGGTTCCTTAAACCAGAATTTGGGGTTCTTGACCCCAAACTTTGGGGTTCTTTGATGGAATTTGGGGGTTTCCTTGAACCCAAATTTTTGTGTTTTTTGAAGCTGAATTTTGGGGTTTCTTGAACCTGAATTTGGGGGCTCTTTGAACCTGAATTTTGGGGTTTCTTGTTGGAATTTGGTGTTTTTTGAACCTGAATTTTGGGGTTCTTTGAACTCGAATTTGGGGTTTCTTTAACCCGAATTTGGGATTTCTTTAACCCGAATTTGGGGGTTCTTTGATTCCGAATTTTGGGGTTCTTTGAACCCGAATTTGGGGTTCCTTAAAGTTGAATTTTGGGGTTCCTTTAACTGGAATTTTGGGGTTTCTTGATGGAATTTGGGGTTTCTTGAAGCCAAATTTGGGGGTTTTTGAAGGTGAATTTGGGGTTCCTGGAACCCGAATTTGGGGGTTCCTTGATGCTGAATTTTGCGGTTCTTTGAACCCAAATTTTGGGGTTCCTCAAACCCGAATTTGGGGTTCTTGAACCCTAACTTTGGGGTTCCTTGATGGAATTTGGAGATTTCCTTGAACCCGAAATTTTGTGTTTTTTGAACCCAAATTTTGGGGTTTCTTGATGAAATTTTGGGGTTTTTTTGATGGAATTTTGGGTTTTTGAACCCAAATTTGGGGGTTTTTTTGAACCTGAATTTGGGGGGGTTTTTTTAACCCGAATTTTGGGGTTTTTTTTGACCCCGAATTTGGGGTTTTTTGAACCCAAAATGTGGGGTTTCTTGATGGAATTTGGGGTTCCTTAAATTCAAATTTTTGGGTTTTTCGAACCTGAATTTTGGGTTTTTTTGAACCTGAATTTTGGGGTTCCTTGATAGAATTTTGGGGTTTTTGAACCCGAGTTTTGGGGTTTCTTGAACCCGAATTTTGGGGTTTCTTGATAAAATTTTGGGGTTTCTTGATGGAATTTTGGGTTTTTTGAACCCAAATTTTGGGGGATCCTTGAACCCGAATTTTGGGGGTTCTGTGAACCTGAATTTGGGGTTTCTTTAACCCAAATTTGGGGCTTCTTCAAAGCTGAATTTTGGGGTTTCTTGACTCCGAATTTGGGGGTTTCTTGATGGAATTTTGGGGTTCCTTGAAACCGAATTTCGGGTTTTTTGAACCCGAATTTGGGCGTTTCTTGAGCCCGAATTTGGGGTTTCAGTGAACCCGAATTGTGACTTTTCTTGAACCCGAATTCGGGGTT